ACAATATTGCTTCTCTCTCACTTACCAACTTTACATCTCCCCGTATGGCCCCGGAAGATGACTGGTTAGCCAGAGACGGGTAAGATTCCTCAAGGGAGGAACAACCTAAGACAGGCACAGTCGCAGGGGGGCCATCAGGTGAGAAATCGGGGAACAACAGTGGTGAAGCTTAGAACCTCACCCCCGCCCCCTGTTTTGAGAGAAATCTTCTGCATCCGTGGATGTTTTATTGCCCTTGTCTAGCTCGGATTAGCACATAGTCTACAGGCACACACCTGATCATCTACATTTGCCCTCTTACAGCACTAAACTATGTTTTCTACCTTTATCTTGCATCTACCTACCACTGCAGCATTTTATAAAAATAATAATAATAATAAGGGAGAAATGTGGGATTCACATATAAATCAAATATAAAAATCAAAAAAAAAAATGGAACACCCAAAGATCAGTGTCCATGGAAACTGCCTTTGGGCTTACATTTAGTAAGTATAGTATATAAAGAAATATCTGCCAGAAAGAATATTTAGTCAATACTTTTATAGTAACAGTAACAATAAAAATAGACCAATTACATAATGACACTAAAACCAAGTTAATATTCTTTGGTTATTAAATCATGTAATCCTCCCATCAACCCAATGAGATAAATCTAATTAAGCAGGGGATGCAGGACCCTACCTAAAGCCTAAGCTCATTAACACTTAATATCTGGAACTTAGTTAGATTAATATGTATATAAATGAACTGTCAAGCCAAGAGAAAAAATTGGCAAATGATGAACCAGGGATGATCTTGATTTAACCTGTTGATTTCTGAGTGAAATCCCCCCGAGTTAGAAGTAAACAGGTGCTTTGTCAACTTTTTTTTTCATATTTTTTCAAGCTCTATGACAGTAATCCAGATTTCTATGGGATATGCAAGGGAATGACTTCTGTGAGACATTTACCTCTCCTATACTTCCTTATAATTGCTACAAGTCCCCTATAATTCTAATTCCTGTTTCCTTCATTACAGACTGTGGAGGGGGTCCTGCACATAAATATCTCTTACCAGCCAAGAGCATGTAGAGCTCCCCCATCCTCGGCTGGAAGCTGATGGCTGCACTGAGAAAATGGAAAGCTGATGCATACTGCTGCATGGTCAGGTGGACAAGGCCCAGATTATACAGAATCTTCCAATCGAAGGGCGCCAAGTAATTGGCTCGTTTCAGGCAGCTGATAGCCTGCAGGAAAGAGGAGGCGCTCAGTGAGAGGCTGGGTCAAGCCTGACAGAGCCAATAACTGCATATGAAACAAACAGGAAGACAAGAAGAAACTTACTGCCACATATTTCTTTTTGCCAAAGAAACACATTCCAATGTTATTCCAAAGTGGAGGGCTTTCTGAAACAGCACAAGCTACCACTCTGTATTTGGTCAGGGCAACATCAAAGTCTCCATGGGTCTGCATCATGCTGCCTGCTGCCAAGATGGCCTAAAAACACAGGACGAGGACAGTTGGTGATTCAGTTACCCCAACAGACTATCGCAGTGAAGTAGCCTCGCTGGGTAGGTACTCAGCAGGCCCATCAGCATAGATAATGTCTGAAAACCTTTCTCCAGAATGTATTTAATCAATTGAGCCAAATGCTCATGAGGAATGTCCCCACACCCCCACTGCGGCTCCCTTTGGCACAGTACAGAAAAAGACAGAAATGTCACTGACTGACTGTGCCCAGCTCATCTGTTTCCCACCTCTGGCCCAGGAAATCAGTATATCAGAATATTGGGGCCCTTTAGGTAAAAAGTGCCTTTAATCTGTTCCCTGCAGCCCCTACGAAGTGCTCTAGACAACTCAAGTACTCCTGTCTCTGGCCAGGTAAGACACAGCTCCTTCTGCCGCAGGACAGAGGGTAAGTCAGCTTCAGGCGTCACCAGTCCTGCCCTGTCACTTCTCCAAGGACGCTGTCGAGGTGGGGAGCTGATGAGTCAGGCTGGGACGACTCCCCAGACAGAGCTTAGTCCGCATCTTTCAACAGGCTGTTTTGCTGTACCTCCCCCTAAATGGTATTTATCCACTTGATGATCTCATCCCCAAAATCGTAGCTGCACAAGAATTATAATCACAAATTCATTAAGAATCTAGAAGTCATTGCACCAAAGTTGTTTTTGATAGTTGTGGAGACTTTGCTAATGTCCTAAATAACACATAAAACTTTACAAGCACTATAATTTCACTTTCTGCACAAGTCACAGCTTTTAGAAAACAAGAAGCAGAGTACCAACACGCTACAATATTTTCAAGTAAGAAAAGCCACTTTCATTGATAATTTTCTAAGAAAAAGGTAATTTCTCACGTATTCAAAACGCTTTTAGGGTCAGAGCATCTCTAAGAACAGTGTGACCCATGGATATAAAGGCTCTGGGGCAGGAGAGCCCAGCATACCTTATAGTTGGTGGGGTCATAAGTTAGTGCATTTCCAAGATGTTCAAATGCCTTCTGGTAAATGCCGAGCTTGGAGAAAAAGCAAACCAGACAATTATGGGGGATAATTATGGGGAGGGAAGCAGTTAAGGAGTCTGGCCAGCCACACCCTGAACAGAAACACCCTAACGTTGATGAGTTCTCTTGACAAAAAAAAGCTACAGATAATCAAATAAATCCACACATTTGTGGGTGCTCCTGCTGCCTCCACCACCCTGTATTTTGTTGATTTGTCTTCTGATAAGGTCGAAGTAATCTATTTACCAGGAACCATCTCTGTCACACTAGTGCTGACTCCACACTCATGTTTCTTGGCAGGAAATGGGCTGGTTAGTCTCATCTCCCCTGAGGCCAATTTCCTGATTCCTTTTAAAGGAAAAGGAAACAGACCACGGTAGGGGTGGAGCTGGAGGCAGGACCCGCTGAGCTGGCTGCCTGGAGAGTTGGTGGGGAGCATGGCAGGGAGAGGCCTCACAGATCTCTGGGCCCCAGGTCCTCAAGCTAGTACAGAGAAGTGACGGAGCTAAAAGAATGCCATTCACACTCAGGAATGTGGAGGGGGGTAGCCTTGTTCTAGATAATGCTTTGTCTTCTCTTTCCTGTAGGACCTGGAGCAACAGAAAATGGCTTTGCGGTGAAGCCCTAGTAGTGCTAACTTGTATCACAGTATCTCCCCTGACCACACAGTAATTTCTCATATATTCTCTTTCCTTGAAATGGAAAAGAATTATAATTGCACTAGGCTCAAACAGATTTATTTGCTTCTTATTTGAATGCAGAAAATTAAGTTACTTCCTTTGGTAGACAAAGAATATCAAATGTAGAGAGTAAGGTTCATGTGCTTCATGACCTTTAGTAATATGGGATTAAGTAAAATCAAAATGCAAGAAAACCATAATCCACACAAATGCAAAAGCATTTCTAACACCAATGCATGAATGAGTAAAGATTTCTCATTACCTGTAAGTAGAGTAATCCTAAAGTTGTAAGAAGTTCTGTATTTTCTGGTGAGAACCTGCACACAGATATCAACATAGAGTTATTCAGAGGGAAACAAGATGTATGTGAAAGACACTGGGATACACGCATGTAGTAACGTGCTCTAGCATAACACCTGAGACACCAGCCACTGTGCCTCCCACTTCCCATGGAAATTCCCAAAGGTGATTTAGGAATTTCCTTTCAAAGATTAGGACATCTCAACCCTGGCTACAGGGAATACTGCTCAGCAAGAAAGAAATGATGCTTAGAATCCAGACTCCTTACTCAGGACCTTTTCTTAGTGCATAGTCCTAAAAAAGAACCAACACAACATTTTGTGACTGTCTTGATTACACTGATAGAATTAAAGAACGCTGCATAAACCATCTCAGTCTAGAACACACATAGTTTTAGTAAGTTCTCTATTGTGGGACTTCTTTTTTTTCTTCCTGTTCTCACTGTATTCACAATTACGCCAGCCAGCAGCATTTTCCACACAATTTAGGATCCCAAGGGCCCTCACGCTTTTCTCTCTACATTAACCAAAAAGCCATAGTAAGCGGCCAAATTAAACAAAAGAAGGAAGACACATATCAGCTCTAGGAAAGAATTAGCCATTGGCTTTGGGGAGCAAACTTTGGGGAGTGCTGGTTAAGTAAAAGATTATCTGCTTTCCCAATCCCTCACTGTTACTTGTCTTTGTCGCAAAGCCGGAGCAACAGTGAGCTGAGCATTGACTGCAGAATCACCAGGCAGCTTCAGCAGTGAAAGCGCCAATCTGCGAGGAACAATGTTTCCAGCTTCTAAGGACTGAGGTAGAGGGCTGGTTACCTATAAGGAGACCAGAACCTGAGGGACCAGACCCCCAGCCAGGGGAGGCTAGCTGGCCAAACAAAGCTCACTTACTAGTTCAAATGAGTATTTGCCCACCACTTTCTGCCACAATAAATATCCACTTTGATCACTCCATGCCCCCAAACCAATTAAGTAACTTCCATGATTCTGATAGCATCTATCCCCCACCAAAACATGACTATTATCTCCAAAGCTGTGGGTCATAAACAATATTCTCTCCATTCTCAGTATGAGGCTCTAAATGTTAAGACGTTCCCTTTTCTCCTTTGGGAATTTTAGTGACTTAAATCCTTGACCAGCCACCGGATGAATGTCACCCTTCAGATTTATATGAGCTAATCTCAAAGAGCCAACTTCTAGAAGGCAGGGGTGAGGGATCAAGGCTTCTACAGAAGCTTAACATGTGCTACATGGGCTCCTTCCTATTTGTACATATGAACTTAGCCTCTTGATGACGAACGTCTCTTGCAGCTTAACAAAACCAAGGGATTTTTATGTCTTTCATTAGACACAAACTGTGGTTGAAGAAAATTCAGAAAGCAGCATGATGACTGATATAACCAGAAAAGTTACTACCATGGTAGAAGACAAGGTAAATAACAAATTAACAGAAATCTAAGTTTAGTTCAGAGTCTAATTATCAGGAATAATACAGCCTTGAACCACATATCAGACATTCTGTTAAGTGACCAAACAAATACTAAAGCCTTCTGCCACAGCTATCCCACTTGAACGAGACGAGAGCGACCCTATACAGAAAAGCCAAGGTAGCATGTGTCCCTAGAGAGGGGACATGGAACTCCGTCCTGGGGAAGCCAGTTAGTTCCATCACCAACAGGAGTTTGGCCTACTCTGATGATCTTTTAAAAAACAAGATATTTGTCTCATGTTAATAAGGCCAGATGTTTATTACTGACTGAGGCAATTTCTGTCCCTAATGTCTCTGGCAACACAAGATCTGCTATATTTAAAACCACAATGGCAGGCTGCCAGCTGACTCTCAAATCAGTTCTCTTTCTTGGGGGGCACGTGTGCCCACCTCCCTTACAGCTAAGTGTGACCAACTCACTAATTTTGAATGATGGAATGTGAGCACAAACAATGTATGCAACTACTAGGCCATGTAAAACACACTTGAAGCTCCTTACTTGGTACTTAGTTTCCTGTACCACCTCCGTCACCATAGACTGGAACATGGATGGTCAGTAAGTCAACTTCAACTATGGAGGTGAAACAACCTAAGGAATGGTGGGTTAATAAGGAACCTGGATCCTTAACCAACCTTGTGGAGCAAAGCTGCCCAGCTAGGTAGACTAGACCAGCTAGATTGACAGGTGAGAAATAAATACAAGTCTTTCATATTTAAGCCATTTGGGAGATCTTAACTTTAGCTTAACCTTTCCTCTTACTCCTACAACTAGTAATCAGTCACACATATTCCATCTTAGGCTTGGGAGCCCATATTTCAGCTTCCTTTTTTTGTTTGTTTCTCACTGCTTTAAAGAAAACAGATAGACTTACTCTACTGCTTTCTTGTAGATTTTGATGGCCTTGTCCAAATCTCCCTCCAGCAAGTGGATCTTCCCCAGCATTATATAAGTCAGATCATGCTGATTAAGATGTAAGGCATTGTGCAACTGGTCTTGTGCCTAACAAGATTGATGAAGTAAAGAGAACCAAATCACTACCGTGAAAGGGCAACGGGCTCTGTATGGCGAAAGAGAGCTCCTGCTATACCAATGCAGGAACCTCACCATTTCGAGAAATAGCCCCACTACCCAAAAAAAAGCAGAACATGCCAAAACTGTGCTTGCTGACACGACAACTGGCCGTGTGGGATGTCCGCCTCTAGAGCTACTTGGGGACGTTTGCATGAGATGATTAGTTCTTTTTAGTGTTTTCTGCTTCCTGGTCTTCATACTCCGTAAGTCGAAGGGGACATCATTGCACAGTACACAGTACTGCCCCAAACTCCAGGCCCGCTGCACTGCTGACCAGTTGTACTTGTACAGCCCTCCCCAAGGTGGGTCTCATTTTTCTCACCAATATTTTGATAAACGAATGAATGGACTGTTCTCATTTATTTACTCAACATGTATTCATTGAGTGCCTGTGGTTCTAGGTGCTCGGTATACCAAAGCTAACAGACTCCTTGCTCTAGAAGAGCTTGTATCCTAGTAAATGATCAAAACGGATTCACCTAGTTATTGATTCAACAAATATTTACATAAATGACAAGTACTGTATTTGTTGTTAGCTTTACAGAAAATCTAAACATAATTTTCCTTCTTCTCAGTATAGATCTGACTAGAGACCAAAGCCACCTCTGCTCTAGCTTAGAATAATCTTGTGACTAGAAATGTATTTCCTTGGAATATCTTCTGAAGAGAAAACTCTCCTAACCAAGTATATAACACTGCTGATCTGCCCAGAAAACCTAAGGGACCCACTAAATAGATATTTTTTATTTATATATATTAGTTATGTATTATAGATCTCAAAGGAGAATAAGTTACTCTTACACCTCAACAGCTGATGTACTATTTATTCACACCCCTGAGAGAGATTAGGTGGCATCAGTTTGCAAACTGACACAAATTAAACATTGTCAAATGGGTATTAACCAACTCAGATTCTCAGTCCTGTTGGCATTAAGAAGAATAAAACTTCACAATTACTAGGTGGGAGCTTTATGAAGGAAACTCGACCTAACCCCCCATTATAATATATATTATCTTTCAGAGCTCTCCATAATTTAGCTCACCCTTCAACCAAGATATATACATGTTTCCTTTACCCAACTACCAAAGATAGGCTCAAATGTTTTATCTGATATATGAGACTTAAGGGCCTACAGCTTAATCAAAATGAAATATAAATTCTCACATGGAAAATAACCTTAAAAACTGAGACTCTCAGAAATCAGATCCACTTAAAATTAATTTCCAATATCCTTAAAAACTAAAATCAGTGCCATCAGAGCATAATATAATTCACATAATATAATGTCATGATCACACTTTTAAGATGTCTAAATTTTACTGAACATTTATTTCTATATTGGGAAATTAAACTGGAAGTGGAGAAAAATAAGAAAGGAGAAAAGCAATTAGATAATCAGTCTCTTATAATATTTCTATAATTTTTCATTTTTTATTAACAGCAGAAAAAAGACGAGATGGATATCAACAAATGAGAATAAAAATGTAATAAATGCATGTGAAACTTTGAATATTTACTTCCAAGAATCACTACAGTACAAAATGAGCAGAGGCACCTCTCTCACAAGCGCACCCTCAGAAATCCCTGGTCAGCCTTCTCAACTGCCACTACCATTTCTACAAATTACCTTGTTGAATTGTTTCAGATAAATGTAGCAAACTCCTAGGTTATGGCAGATCTCCTATGCACAAAAGAAAGGAAAACAGCTTAGGTGTAAATTCCAAAGTAAACGTTACAGTAAAACAATAGGCATCTACAAGTTGTTGTTGTTCAGCAGTTTAAAGTGTAAAATATGTACTACAATTACTTTTTGACTAGATTTCATGCTCAAATAATACTTAATTCTACAAAATGGGTTCTTTAATATTAAAAAAAAAACCCTACAGATTATAAGAGATAAAAACAGAATAAACAGTAGATCTTCCTGGATCTTTGGGGGATATACACCCAGCCCATCTTCATACCTTTTTCTCTAACTAACTGCTACCTACTGCCCATACCTTTGTGCCCTCTTCTTAGAAGAGGCTACCCACAGCCTCTACCACTAAGGAGATAGGTGTGTGTGTGGTGGACGAGGGGTGTATATGTCAATCAGATTCCTTCTCCTAGGAATCCAGGAATTCACTAGATGATATGAATTTGGGGACTGACAGTGCCATCTGAAGGGTGCCATTCCACCACGATGGAATATATGTAATTGGACAGAGTTTGTAGAAGCCTACAGCAGAGGTCAGCAAACTGAAGTCCAGGGACCAAATCCATCCTCTGCCTGTTTTTGTAAATAAAGTTTTATTGGAACACAGACACAACCATTTGTTACTTATTCTCTATGGCTCTTTCACACTGGAACTTCAGAAAGTAAGTAGCTGCAACACAGACTATATAAAAACCACAAAGCTTAAAATATTTACTAACTGGCCCTTTACAAAAACTTTGGCAATCACTGATATGAAGAAATAAAAAGTGAAGCAGAAATGCAGAGTAGCTACCTTGGTTACTGACAGCTTTCCAGTTCTAGTTTACTGCAAAACCAACTTGTTCTTCCTGACCTTGAGTTCTGTAGAATCTCTCAAATTCCCTTTAAATTAAATCTCCCTTTATGTAAGGAGCTTTAGAGAAAGGAGAAAGCAAGGGTGAGGAAACTGCTCTTGGGAAACAGTAAGGACCTTCTTAGTAGTAAAGAGGTGTGGAAGCACATTCAAACTCAGAAATGTTACTGTCTAAAGAAACATGGGACTCAGACCAGAGACAATACATGATTTAACGTTCCAAGTTTCCTAAAAAACAACAAAATAGTGACTATTGATTGGTTACCTACTTCACTATAGGCTCTATGCCAGATGTTTTTCATACATATTAACTTTCCTAGCAAATTTGTAAATTGTAACAATTCTGATTTTAGAGATGGGAAAACTGAAGCTAAAAGATTTTAAGTAGTTTGCCTAAGTTAAGACAAAGGGTTAGCACTGGGATTTTTTTTCTTTTTATAGGCCTAAATATTAAGGAGAATCTCAACCATATATAAATGTAGACAAAATCACCATGTACTTATCATTCTGCCCCCAAAACCATATAATTGATACCCCCATCTATCTATCCCACTGCTTTTGTAAGCAAATTTCATTTCATCCACAAATAATTTCAGTATGTATTTTTAAAAGGTTCTTTTTCTTAAACTACCTACAATACTATTATCATACCTAAAAAATAAAAATATTAACAACTATTTAATATCAGATATTGAATAATGTTCAAATTTCTGATGGTCACATAAATGCCTCAGATTTAAAAAATTTTTTCTTAAGTCATGATTCAAATAATGTCCATACATTGCAAAGCACTAAGACTTGAACTCAGGACAGTCTCCCACACCTGTGTACCTTCCACTTCTGAACCCATAAGAATGTACAATGGAGCTAAAGAGGGAAGAAATGTAGCCCTACTTGCCCTTTAAGTATAATGAAAGTCAACTAACAACTTACTGTCATAGATGTTATTTGAGAAAGCAGCAGTAATATGCCATCAGCAAACTGACGGCAAAGGAAAATGGAACAAATTAGAGTTAAATCCTCCTTCCGTGGGGAGGAATCCAGCAGACACCCTGCAAAGGTAGCTGGGACAATGGAAAGACATAGGCCTAAAGTGAGGAATCATAGATTCTAGGCCCGAGTTCTAGCTCTGTTTCTGCCACTACCTTGCTATGCATTCATCAGCAAGTCATTCCATCTCTCGAAGCCTCAGCTCTCTCACCTATCAATGGGGGAAATTTTCCTTACTCAACACAGCTGTTTCAAAAGTCAAATGAGATAATGGAAGGAGGAATTATTACTCCCCTGTTGCAGCCAGACTCTGGAATGCCCTGATGAGTCCAAGAAAATAGGACCACAAGGTTTTCTGCAGCTCATGGACACGTATGAAGCATGCAGGATGCAGAATGCCTACGGGGGATGAGCACCTTTCCTGGCACCAAAGGAAGAGTTACCTCAGGCGAGTCAGTGATGCCAAGTAAGTTCTTTCAACCGACCACACGGACTAACAGATATTCTACATTCTTTCTGTGATCCTGATCGCTCCAGTGTCACTTCCTTACCCCCCATTTTTTCTCTTCAGCTAACTCCATTAAAACTTTTTTTTCAATGTTCCATCTTTCGCTCATTGCAGAGTGATCTCATTGAATTTCATGGTTTTAATTATCACCTTTATGTTGTTGACTCCAAAGTGTCTATCTATAGCCCAGAATACTCTAGTCTCCGATTTTTATATCCAACCACATGGGACACATCTCAATTTAGATATCCTATTAAAAGCTAAAACTTATCAAGTCCATAACCTATTGAAAGACAGAGTATGTAACTGATTTGTTATCACCATCTCCAAAAACTCACTACTCTTTCATCCTGTATTTCCCATTCTAGCTGATTGTCCCATAATCCACAATCTATCTTTGCATCCCCAGGGCATATACCAGTGCCTGGTACATAGTACACATTCATTTACATCATTGCACAGTACACAGTACTGCCCCAAACTCCAGGCCCGCTGCACTGCTGACCAGTTGTACTTGTACAGCCCTCCCCAAGGTGGGTCTCATTTTTCTCACCAATATTTTGATAAACGAATGAATGGACTGTTCTCATTTATTTACTCAACATGTATTCATTGAGTGCCTGTGGTTCTAGGTGCTCGGTATACCAAAGCTAACAGACTCCTTGCTCTAGAAGAGCTTGTATCCTAGTAAATGATCAAAATGGATTCACCTAGTTATTGATTCAACAAATATTTACATAAATGACAAGTACTGTATTTGTTGTTAGCTTTACAGAAAATCTAAACATAATTTTCCTTCTTCTCAGTATAGATCTGACTAGAGACCAAAGCCACCTCTGCTCTAGCTTAGAATAATCTTGTGACTAGAAATGTATTTCCTTGGAATATCTTCTGAAGAGAAAACTCTCCTAACCAAGTATATAACACTGCTGATCTGCCCAGAAAACCTAAGGGACCCACTAAATAGATATTTTTTATTTATATATATTAGTTATGTATTATAGATCTCAAAGGAGAATAAGTTACTCTTACACCTCAACAGCTGATGTACTATTTATTCACACCCCTGAGAGAGATTAGGTGGCATCAGTTTGCAAACTGACACAAATTAAACATTGTCAAATGGGTATTAACCAACTCAGATTCTCAGTCCTGTTGGCATTAAGAAGAATAAAACTTCACAATTACTAGGTGGGAGCTTTATGAAGGAAACTCGACCTAACCCCCCATTATAATATATATTATCTTTCAGAGCTCTCCATAATTTAGCTCACCCTTCAACCAAGATATATACATGTTTCCTTTACCCAACTACCAAAGATAGGCTCAAATGTTTTATCTGATATATGAGACTTAAGGGCCTACAGCTTAATCAAAATGAAATATAAATTCTCACATGGAAAATAACCTTAAAAACTGAGACTCTCAGAAATCAGATCCACTTAAAATTAATTTCCAATATCCTTAAAAACTAAAATCAGTGCCATCAGAGCATAATATAATTCACATAATATAATGTCATGATCACACTTTTAAGATGTCTAAATTTTACTGAACATTTATTTCTATATTGGGAAATTAAACTGGAAGTGGAGAAAAATAAGAAAGGAGAAAAGCAATTAGATAATCAGTCTCTTATAATATTTCTATAATTTTTCATTTTTTATTAACAGCAGAAAAAAGACGAGATGGATATCAACAAATGAGAATAAAAATGTAATAAATGCATGTGAAACTTTGAATATTTACTTCCAAGAATCACTACAGTACAAAATGAGCAGAGGCACCTCTCTCACAAGCGCACCCTCAGAAATCCCTGGTCAGCCTTCTCAACTGCCACTACCATTTCTACAAATTACCTTGTTGAATTGTTTCAGATAAATGTAGCAAACTCCTAGGTTATGGCAGATCTCCTATGCACAAAAGAAAGGAAAACAGCTTAGGTGTAAATTCCAAAGTAAACGTTACAGTAAAACAATAGGCATCTACAAGTTGTTGTTGTTCAGCAGTTTAAAGTGTAAAATATGTACTACAATTACTTTTTGACTAGATTTCATGCTCAAATAATACTTAATTCTACAAAATGGGTTCTTTAATATTAAAAAAAAAACCCTACAGATTATAAGAGATAAAAACAGAATAAACAGTAGATCTTCCTGGATCTTTGGGGGATATACACCCAGCCCATCTTCATACCTTTTTCTCTAACTAACTGCTACCTACTGCCCATACCTTTGTGCCCTCTTCTTAGAAGAGGCTACCCACAGCCTCTACCACTAAGGAGATAGGTGTGTGTGTGGTGGACGAGGGGTGTATATGTCAATCAGATTCCTTCTCCTAGGAATCCAGGAATTCACTAGATGATATGAATTTGGGGACTGACAGTGCCATCTGAAGGGTGCCATTCCACCACGATGGAATATATGTAATTGGACAGAGTTTGTAGAAGCCTACAGCAGAGGTCAGCAAACTGAAGTCCAGGGACCAAATCCATCCTCTGCCTGTTTTTGTAAATAAAGTTTTATTGGAACACAGACACAACCATTTGTTACTTATTCTCTATGGCTCTTTCACACTGGAACTTCAGAAAGTAAGTAGCTGCAACACAGACTATATAAAAACCACAAAGCTTAAAATATTTACTAACTGGCCCTTTACAAAAACTTTGGCAATCACTGATATGAAGAAATAAAAAGTGAAGCAGAAATGCAGAGTAGCTACCTTGGTTACTGACAGCTTTCCAGTTCTAGTTTACTGCAAAACCAACTTGTTCTTCCTGACCTTGAGTTCTGTAGAATCTCTCAAATTCCCTTTAAATTAAATCTCCCTTTATGTAAGGAGCTTTAGAGAAAGGAGAAAGCAAGGGTGAGGAAACTGCTCTTGGGAAACAGTAAGGACCTTCTTAGTAGTAAAGAGGTGTGGAAGCACATTCAAACTCAGAAATGTTACTGTCTAAAGAAACATGGGACTCAGACCAGAGACAATACATGATTTAACGTTCCAAGTTTCCTAAAAAACAACAAAATAGTGACTATTGATTGGTTACCTACTTCACTATAGGCTCTATGCCAGATGTTTTTCATACATATTAACTTTCCTAGCAAATTTGTAAATTGTAACAATTCTGATTTTAGAGATGGGAAAACTGAAGCTAAAAGATTTTAAGTAGTTTGCCTAAGTTAAGACAAAGGGTTAGCACTGGGATTTTTTTTCTTTTTATAGGCCTAAATATTAAGGAGAATCTCAACCATATATAAATGTAGACAAAATCACCATGTACTTATCATTCTGCCCCCAAAACCATATAATTGATACCCCCATCTATCTATCCCACTGCTTTTGTAAGCAAATTTCATTTCATCCACAAATAATTTCAGTATGTATTTTTAAAAGGTTCTTTTTCTTAAACTACCTACAATACTATTATCATACCTAAAAAATAAAAATATTAACAACTATTTAATATCAGATATTGAATAATGTTCAAATTTCTGATGGTCACATAAATGCCTCAGATTTAAAAAATTTTTTCTTAAGTCATGATTCAAATAATGTCCATACATTGCAAAGCACTAAGACTTGAACTCAGGACAGTCTCCCACACCTGTGTACCTTCCACTTCTGAACCCATAAGAATGTACAATGGAGCTAAAGAGGGAAGAAATGTAGCCCTACTTGCCCTTTAAGTATAATGAAAGTCAACTAACAACTTACTGTCATAGATGTTATTTGAGAAAGCAGCAGTAATATGCCATCAGCAAACTGACGGCAAAGGAAAATGGAACAAATTAGAGTTAAATCCTCCTTCCGTGGGGAGGAATCCAGCAGACACCGTGCAAAGGTAGCTGGGACAATGGAAAGACATAGGCCTAAAGTGAGGAATCATAGATTCTAGGCCCGAGTTCTAGCTCTGTTTCTGCCACTACCTTGCTATGCATTCATCAGCAAGTCATTCCATCTCTCGAAGCCTCAGCTCTCTCACCTATCAATGGGGGAAATTTTCCTTACTCAACACAGCTGTTTCAAAAGTCAAATGAGATAATGGAAGGAGGAATTATTACTCCCCTGTTGCAGCCAGACTCTGGAATGCCCTGATGAGTCCAAGAAAATAGGACCACAAGGTTTTCTGCAGCTCATGGACACGTATGAAGCATGCAGGATGCAGAATGCCTACGGGGGATGAGCACCTTTCCTGGCACCAAAGGAAGAGTTACCTCAGGCGAGTCAGTGATGCCAAGTAAGTTCTTTCAACCGACCACACGGACTAACAGATATTCTACATTCTTTCTGTGATCCTGATCGCTCCAGTGTCACTTCCTTACCCCCCATTTTTTCTCTTCAGCTAACTCCATTAAAACTTTTTTTTCAATGTTCCATCTTTCGCTCATTGCAGAGTGATCTCATTGAATTTCATGGTTTTAATTATCACCTTTATGTTGTTGACTCCAAAGTGTCTATCTATAGCCCAGAATACTCTAGTCTCCGATTTTTATATCCAACCACATGGGACACATCTCAATTTAGATATCCTATTAAAAGCTAAAACTTATCAAGTCCATAACCTATTGAAAGACAGAGTATGTAACTGATTTGTTATCACCATCTCCAAAAACTCACTACTCTTTCATCCTGTATTTCCCATTCTAGCTGATTGTCCCATAATCCACAATCTATCTTTGCATCCCCAGGGCATATACCAGTGCCTGGTACATAGTACACATTCATTTTTTGAAAGAATGACTACATGAATGAAAGAGTAAATGAATTTTCCTTTTCTAAAGTAGCTTCACTTTGACTTTTAGCTATAAAATACTGAGTGGCATAAAGATTTAAACATCTCAATATTCAGAGCTACAGAAGAAAAGTGACTAACAAATTCATACACATAAAAATAATACTGCCAATCTGGGGAAGAAAAGATGGCAACATGAGAAGTGAAGAAGAAACCTCCCAAAACCACATATAACAAGAAGATACAGCGAATACAACTAATCCTGAAAGAGCAACCAGCAAGAACACTGTGACAGACTGCCTACATCTGGGGAAAAGCGAAAACCTCATGGAAAAGGGTAAAGTAGCAAAGCTGTGATCCAGTGGGACCCAAGCCCTCTCCCACCAGCTCAAAGGCAGGAGGAAGAAAAATGGAGCAGGAAGGGAATAGAAGCTTAGGACTTCTGAACACCCAGAAGCCCTGGAGATCTTCCCCAGGAGCACATACCCACATTACATGGTGCTCAGCAGATTAGTGGGGTTGGAAAGCACAGACAGGCAGAGTACTCGGAGAGACTTAGATTCCAGCTGCTTGTGGAGAACAGATACACACACCCAGTTGCTCCAGGAAAAAAGAAAGGCAGGCACTTTGGAAGACTTCTCAACAGTGAGAGGGGCACTAAAGGACAAGGATCACACAGAGATTGCTGCTCAGGAGAAAGGACAGGTGGGAAAAGTCATCCTGGCACACACAGCCCAGCAGGCTGGGAGATTTCGCAAGCTTCAAGCAATACAGCATGCTGGCTGGCGACAAAGCACTGAGGCCCCCACTGCAATGCGCAGCCCGCTGCTCCTTCCTCCTGGCTGGCACAGGCTGCAAACCTGCTGTCCCGTGATCGAGCCAGGCCGGCTGGAGGGCCACAGCGCCTATGGCAGCAACAAAGGTGTAATGTAGAGGCTCCTCCCTAAGAATGAAAGAATACTGAGAGAAATGTGTGACCAATTCAAACCGAACAATATTCGCATTACAGGGGTACGAGAAGAAGAAGAGAGAGAAAAAGAGATAGAAAGTGTCTTTCAGGAAGTAACTGCTGAAAACTTCCCCAATCTGGGGAAAGAGATAGTTTCTCAAGCCATGGAGGTGCAGAGATCTCCCAACACAAGGGACCCAGGAAGGACAACACCAAGATATATAATAATTAAAATGGCAAAGGTCAAAGACAAGGACAGGGTATTAAAGACAGCCAGAGAGAGAAAAAACATCACCTACAAAGGAAAACCCGTCAGGCTATCATCAGACTTTTCAACAGAAACCTTACAGGCCAGAAAAGAATGGCATGATATATTTAATGCATTGAAAGAGAAGGGCCTCCAACCAAGAATACTCAATCCACCAAGATTATCATTTAAATTTGAAGGAGGGATTAAACAATATCCAGATAAGCAAAAGCTAAGGGAATTTGCCTCCCACAAACCACCTCTACAGAGTATTTTAATGGGACTACTCTACATGTAAGTACTCCTAAGGCTAAATAGATGTCACCAGAGAAAATAAAATCACAGCAAAGAAAGCAGACCAACCAAATACTAACTAAAGGCAAAAAAATAAAATCAGCTATCCACAAAAGCAGTAAAGGGAAGCACAAAAGAGAACAGAACAAAACATCTAACATATAAAGAGTGGAAGAAGAAGAAAAAGAGAGAGAAATAAATAATCAGACTGTGTTTATAATATCATAATAACTGAGTTAAAGTTAGACAGTTAGATAGTAAAGAAGCTACCCTTGAACCTTTGGTAACCACAAATCCAAAGCCTGCAATGGCAATAAGTACCTATCTATTGATAATCACCCAAAATGTAAATGGGCTGAATGCACCAATCAAAAGACACAGAGTAACAGAATGGATGAAAAAACAAGACCCATCTATATGCTGCTTACAAAAGACTCACCTCAAACCCAAAAACATACACAGACTAAAAGTAAAGGGATGGAAAAAGATATTTCATGCAAATAATAGGGAGAAAAAAGCAGGAGTTCCAGTACTTGTATCAGACAAAAGACATCAAAACATAGAAAGTAACAAGAGATAAAGAAGAACATTACATAATGACAAAGGGATCACTCCAACAAGAGGATATAACCATTATAAATATACATGCACCCAACAAAGAAGCACCTACATACATGAAACAAATACTAAC